TGTCCCAATTGAATCTGCCCCAAAGATATCTCCCGAATTAATTCAAGTTATTTTTGTTTTTAAATATATATATATATAAATTAATTTCAGGGAGGAAAGGAGAGGGAGTGAGAGAGAGAAACATCCATGATGAGAGAGAATCCTGGATCGGCTGCCTCCTGCACGCCCCCCACTGGGGATCGAGCCCTCAACCCGGGCCTCTGCCCTGACCGGGAATCCAACCCTGACCTCCTGGTTCCTAGGTCGGTCCTTGTCCTGATTTTTGATTCTTTGTCCTGGAGCCTTTTCTCCAGGCTTTCCCTGGACTCTCACAGCTCGGACACGCATGCCCATGGCCGGCGGGTTTTGCTATAAAACTTCCGATGTGGCTTAGGTTGACACTGTGTATTGTTGGCTGATGCCGTGCTGTCATCATTGCTGATCTTACCTTTGATTTATTATTATTATTATTATTATTAGTAGTAGTAGTAGTAACATGGTGTCAGCCAGATGTCGCTTCTGTAAACTTAACTCTTTTCCACTGCAGCGAGTGTTTGGTGGGGACATACTTTGAACCTGTATGTTCAGGTCTTGTTTCAAAGTGTTCATTTATTTAGGTCTATATAGACTCTTCGTCCCTTTTATTCAGTGGCACTTGGGGGAGCCCTGGCCGGTGTGGCTCAGTGCATAGAGCGTCGGCCTGCAGACTGAAAGGTCCCGGGTTCGATTCTGGTCAAGGGCACACGCCTGGGTTGCAGGCTCGATTCCCAGTGTGGGGGCGTGGAGGAGGCAGCCGATCAATGATCGGCTCTCATCATTGCTGTTTCTCTCCCTTTCCCTCTCCCTTCCTCTCTGAAATCAATAAAGCTGTATTAAAAATAACAAACTATCTCTTGGGGGAAACAATCTTAAGTCAAGTGGGAAAGGAAGCGAGCTGCAGAGACTATACAAGGCGGTGTGTGTGTCGGGGTGATGGTACGCACACTGGTCGCTCTGGTGGAAGGGAGGCCTGGAACAGTTAATGGAATGAGAGTGTGATGCAGGCGAACCTTCCCTCTTGCCGAGCACCTTCTGTTCCTGCAGAGCCTGCTCAGATAGAGCAAGTGGCCTTTGGTTTCTTTTGTTGGGTTTTTGCTGGTATTTAATGTTTTCGTTTAAGAGCTTAAATCACCATGAAAATGAACGTCTTGAGCGAGTCGGGATGAGTCTGCCTGGAAGAAATAATCGATGTTTCACAAATGACTGAGCTGAAAGTGCGAGCGCATGAGTGAAAAAATGAATGAGAAGTGGAGGGACTCAGAAGGCCAGCACTGACCGACCGGAGGGGGGCGGGAGAGGGACAGCCGCCGCCGGGACGGGGGTGAGACTTTAACCCCAGAAGCACTCTTGGGTTCCTGAGCTCTGATCCCAGTTAATTTCCTCTCTGCAGAACGTCCACATCTTGCCGCAGACCGTCCTGTACATGGCCGATTCAGACACATTCATTAGCCTGGAGGAGTGTCGCGGTCACAAGCGAGGTGGGTATTTCTGTTTCCTCCCGTGTGTTGTTTGTGACGCATAGTGACTCCATCTGGGGTAAAAACTGCTGTTTAAATTTTTTTTTTATTGATTTTTCCAGAGGGGAAGGGAGAGAGAGAGTTAGAAACATCGATGAGAGAGAAACATCGATCAGCTGCCTCCTGCACATCTCCCACTGGGGATGTGCCCGCAACCCAGGTACATGCCCTTGACTGGAATTGAACCTGGGACCCCTCAGTCCTCAGGCCGACGCTCCATCCACTGAGCCGAACCGGTTTCGGCAAAAACTGCTGTTTAAAATGTTAACCCTGCTATTCTGGCTTCTGAAGACATTTTCTTGCTGAAATAACAGGGAAAATAAGACGACTCCCCACTCCAGAGAGGCCATAAACCCTGCCCCAGACAGCGCTGTCAGTGCTGACGCCGGGCCGGGCTTGGGAGACGGCCTCACGGCCCTGTCTCCGCAAACATGACTTTTTCTCAAGAAGGTCCGGAGGTCTCGTTCCAAATTTGGAAAACGTATAAATGGGGAAGACTTCCACCATATTGGGCCCCAGAATCTGAGAAGCAAGAGTTCCCCTGGGCCTGCTAGCGTTAGCGAAAATGATCAGGACTCCCAATAACTTTGGCTTATTGATCAAGGCGTCTTCTGATTTACAGAATAACATCTGCAGCTCGTTGTTGTCTCTGCCCCGAGAGTGACTTTAGTGCCCGAGGCTCTGGGCCTGCTCCCCGTAGAAGGCGGGACAGCGTTGCCTGTAAAGGGCTGTTTTTGCTTCAGAGACTGGTTTCTGAACCTGGTGGGACGCTGGAAACAAGTTCTTCCAATAGAAAAGTGTCTCTGGATCTATTCTTGTTCATCAAATTTTGTTGATCATTATATCCCACGTAGGAGTCAGATCATATGATATTTATCTTTCTCTGACTGGCTTATTTCACTTAGCATAATGCTCTCCGATTCCATCCATGCCGTTGCAAATGGTAAGAGTTCCTTCTTTTTTACAGCAGCGTAGTATTCCGTTGTGTAGATGGACCACAGGTTTTTAATCCACTCAGCTGCTGACGGGCACTTAGGCTGTAAATTTAGTTAAGAGGAAGGGAGAGGGATAGAGAGTTAGAAACATCGATGAGAGAGAAACATCGATCAACTGCCTCCTGCACACCCCCCACTGGGGATGTGCCCGCAACCCAGGTACATGCCCTTGACGGGAATCGAACCCAGGACCCCTCAGTCCGCAGGCCGACGCTCTATCCACTGAGCCAAACAGGTTTGGTGGGAGTTCCGTTTTTAATCATTAGAGGAAACTCCGTACGGTCTTCCATAGTGGCTGCCCCAGTCTGCACTCCCACCAGCTGTGCACCAGTGTTCCCTTTTCTCCGTATCCTCCCCAGCACTTGTCGTTTGTGGATTTTATTCAAGCCTTTCATGGTGTTAGATGATGGGGAGCCATTTACCAAAGGGATGGATAGACGCAGTGCGACCTTCGCTCGCAGCGAGAGGCACTATAGCCTGTCGCCCAGGAAGGCACCCTGAGACCCCCGTTAGCCTGGGCTGCGGGTTACCTGCCCTTGGAATGCAGGGGCCTGTGTGTGCAGCGTCTGCTGAGCGGAAAGGTAGGGTAGCACGTCTACAGTCCAGCCACTGCTGCTGCAGTTTAACGTCTTTGGAGCAAAAGCTGTACGTGGGCAAACTGGTGATGCTAAAGGTCACGTTCGGAGTTAAAATATAAAACAGGCCCCGCCCAGGAACACGTGGTTTCAGAGAGGAAAGGAGAGGGAGAGAGAGAGACAGAAACATCCATGATGAGAGAGAATCATGGACCGGCTGCCTCCTGCACGCCCCCCACTAGGGATCGAGCCTGCAACCCAGACATGTGCCCTGACTGGAATCGAACCTGGGACCCTACAGTCCGCAGGCCGATGCTCTATCTATTGACCCACACCAGCCAGGGCTTTTTATTGATTTCAGAGAGGAAGGGAGAGGGAGAGAGAGAAACATCAGTGATGAGAGAGAATCGTGGATCAGCTGCCTCCTGCTCGCCTCACAACCGAGAAGCAAGAGTTCCCCTGGGCCCGCTAGCGCTAGCGAAAACGAACAGGACTCCCAATAAATTTAGCTTATTGATCAAGGCGTCTTCTGATTTACAGAATAACATCTGCAGCTCGTTGTTGTCTCTGCCCCGAGAGTGACTTTAGTGCCCGAGGCTCTGGGCCTGCTCCCCGTAGAAGGCGGGACAGCGTTGCCTGTAAAGGGCTGTTTTTGCTTCAGAGACTGGTTTCTGAACCTGGTGGGACGCTGGAAACAAGTTCTTCCAATAGAAAAGTGTCTCTGGATCTATTCTTGTTCATCAAATTTTGTTGATCATTATATCCCACGTAGGAGTCAGATCATATGATATTTATCTTTCTCTGACTGGCTTATTTCACTTAGCATAATGCTCTCCGATTCCATCCATGCCATTGCAAATGGTAAGAGTTCCTTCTTTTTTACAGCAGCGTAGTATTCCATCGTGTAGATGTACCACAGTTTTCTAATCCACTCATCTGCTTATGGGCACTTAGGCTGTTTCCAGATCTTAGCTATGGTGAATTGTGCTGCTATGAACATAGTGGTGCATATATCCTTTCTGATTGGTGTTTCTGGTTTCTTGGGATATATTCCTAGAAGTGGGATCACAGGGTCAAATGGGAGTTCCATTTTCAGTTT